TCCTCGGTGCGGATTTAAAGCTTTAGAGGCACTCGTCGAGCGATCAGCCCGGGAAGACAGAAAGAAAGAAAAAAAGAAAAAAGAATCCCCTACAGTCTCCCCCATAAAACTTGTGCCGCCGTCGCTCGTTTCATTCGCGTAAGACCCCTAATGGCGTTGTCCGGGCGAGGGTGTTACGTATATCTCTGCAAGCTTTTCTGACAAGCCGGGCGTCTTGTTGTTGTTTGTCTAAACTGTGGAGCCACCAAGGTGTTGCCTCAGAGAGTTTAAGCACGCCGATATTGCAAAGGGTTATTAGATTCATAAGTCAGCGAAGTGGTGGGCGATCTACTGAGCACAGCAGAAGTTCTCATATGATGACTTCAAACAAGACACATTACCTACCAGCATCTGTTGGAGTGAGTGGATATTAAGACACTTCTATCTCCAGGACAGCGTAGGGGGGAAATAAAAAAAAAACAAAAGAAAAAGAAATGGTGAGTAGCAATGGAAACACAGCAGCAGCAGCAGCTGCAGATGATGGTGATGGCGGTGGTTGGTGATCAGGGGATGATTACAAGTAAATAGTCGTGCTTGGTGTTCAGTCTGGCAGCGCATTGCTGGAAGGGTTGGACTCGGGGGCTACTTGACAAACTCAGCGTCGAGAACCCATGTCTGCTGAGGCTGCATGGTGTTGACAGAGCGAGCGAGTGTGAATGAGGCTGTGTGGCATTTCTCTGCTCAGGATATGCCGGTTCAGTGAGGAAAAGGGGTAAGGAAACGTTAGACTGGGACCGCGCGCAAATGTGTGGACGTGATCCGGGCTGCGTGTTGGCACCGCCGCGGCTTTTATGTTTAATGCATGCATGTATGTTTATTTTGTTGTTTTTTTTTGTTGTTGTTGTGAGTGCGCCCGAGATAAATAAGCAACATGTGCCACTTGCTTGTGACACTTGTCTTATACCAGGAGGTGATGGGAACGATCGGGGCTCGGTTGTCAGTAATTTGGCGCTGAGAGTGTTGTTTTTTGTTTTGTTTTTTTTTTTATTTGCACTGAACTGAACCGGCGTTTGTCATGATAGGTGCTCTAATCTGGAAGGAAATGTCCGACCAATGTGTGATCAAATATTAACAGGACTGGTTTGGCAAGGGGTGGGAAAATACACGTGACAAAGGGAAGCGGCATAGTTTTCTTCTTCTTCTACTTCTAATTCTTCTTCTTCTTCACCATATTTTTTTTTAAAGAAGAGAGAAAAGCGGTTTAAAGTGGGCGCTCAAAACAAAAGTGTAGGTCTTTTCTCTTTGGCCCCTCATAGTTACCCTGGCTGTGTTATGCTTTCAGCACGTTGGACAGAGGCACCGGAGTCGTGCATGGACTAACACGCCGAGTGGACGCCAACTCTCTTTCTCTTTTCCCAACGCCTCTCCCCCAAACCCCCCCTTTGCCAAACCTGGGATTGTTTTTTTGTTTTGTTTTTTTTTTTCCTTTTCAACTTTTGGTAAGCTCATTCTCGAGGATCCTTTTTGGTCACTAGACGGGAAAATAAACAGGATTTTAAAGAGAGAGAGAGAGAGAGAGACAGAGAGAGAGAGAGACAGAGAGAGACAGAGAGAGAGAGAAAGAGAGAGAGAGAGGCAAAAATAAATAAATAAATAAATAAATAGAAAAACAAGGGAGAAAAGAAAGAAGCGCTTGCTATTTAAAAAAACAAAAACAAAACAAAGATCATAACGGCATACTATATATTTATTTATATATTTTGTTGTTGTTTTATAGCGCACTGTCAAAGTTGAAATGTTAGGGGCGTCCATAGTCTTTTGCACAGCACATTCTCGGTACCTATAAGCCCCCCCACACTGCGTTAAACTTTGGGACATGCAAGTCTTGGTCGCGGAGATCTAACCACGCACATAGTGGTTGTCAGCCCCTTGTAAAGGTAAGAGCACAATCCATTGTTTTCATGTCAGTCTCTATCTAGATTTCCCCCCCTCATTATTGCTGTCGTCTTTGCGGGCTTCGTCTCAAATGAAACTCCGGCTTTAAAACAGAACGGAAAGAAAGAAAAGAAACTACAGCATGCAGCCTTTCGCGTTGCCTTGGATGTGTTAGTAATTGTGGACCGAAATAACTCCGGAATAAGACTCGATCCAGGTGACTGAGTGAACAAACAAATGAATTCATTTATAACCTCTTCGTATTCTTCTCTCTGCAATTGAACATTTGTTTTATAAAAAAAATAAATAAAAGAAGAAGAAGAAAAAAAAAACGATCGCTCCCTGCAGGGGTGGAGGAAAAGGAAGAAAGAAAGAGAGAGAGAGAGAGAGAGGGGAGAAAAAGGTGGTGGTGTGCATGTATTTTAAACCGGGGCTGCTGCTTTTCGTGCTTTTCGGAGCGTTTCTGGAGTTCCCGAGCCCTGCCTGCTGCAACATTATTTGCGTAATCGTTGCGTTGTGCCTAATCATGCTCCCAATATGGGACTTAAGACGCTGCAGTGATCCTTTCCGGCACGAAGTGGAGTCGAGACGCAGGTGCATTTCACCCTACCGTCTATCCGCGCTCATGTTTTCTTTTTCTGTTTTTTTTTCTTCTTTTTTTTTTGTGTGTGTGTTGTTGTTTTGGTCTGCTGCATTCATGTTTTGCCTTCATATCAAACCCTCTGGATTTTGTTATCGACCAAAAATAGCCCTACTCTTTACCCCCCCATTCACCTCCCCACCCCCTTCCCCCCCCATCCCCTCCTCCCGTCATCGCCATCAAATCACTTCTGTTTTTACTACGACCGCTCCACGGTTTCATTCATAAGGTGCTTTTCAACTTCACCTGCTACCCTGTGCCCCCCCCCCCCTCTCTCTCTCTCTTTTGTCCGCACAGAGCCGACCTGCCGACCGCCGATCGCTCCAATGGGTGATATCAAAAACAACAAATTAAAAGAAGCTGGAGGAGAGGGGCGGGGGGTAAAAATGAAGAGATGTAGAGATAAAATGATGAGGGGGGGAAATTATCGATTAAATTACTTCCCCCCGTTGCCTTTCGCGACCTGCGAACCCCCCCCCCCCCCCCCCCCCCTCCCACCCCCGTCTTTTAACGCACGGATACGAAATGCCGCGTTATTGTTATTAATATATATATATATATTGCCTGTGTGAAAATTACAATAAAGATGGGCGTGGTCAGAGAGGATCCGCTGACAGATGTTATGGCTGAACGTGATGCTGAGAGATAAGGCGGCTCGATGTGGAATCGTTCAGGAAGCGGACGCTTTCTTTCCTTTTCCCCCCTCATTTTGTTTCCACCTTTATTTCCTGTAAATTAAAAAAATCACTTGGCGTGACTATTTAAAATCAGATTCACATTTAAACAAAAAAAAAAAAAGCTTCGGGGTTTTTATTTCTCCTCCCAGCCCCCCTTCCTCTCTCTCTCTCTCTCTCTCTCTCTCTCTCTCTCTCTCTCTCTCTCTCTCTCTCTCTCTCTCTCTCTCTCTCTCTGTCTCTCTCTCTCTTTTGGGCGACTTGTAGCCTCAAAAATCGTCTTGCACAGAATCTGTGGATATTGCCTATTTCACCCCCTCCCCCCTCCCTCTCTACATCTTTCTCAGTCATCTATTTTTTTTTATTTTTATTATTTTTTCCATTTGGTCAAAGATTTAAGATTTCTGATCCAAGACGAAGCAATTGCATGGCATAAACAACAGAAAGAGGAGGAGAATCCTCCCTCCCTCCCTCCATCATCTCCCTATAGTCCTGTTTTAATCAAGACTCCTCGTTCCAGGATGCGTCTCCGTATAAATATGACCGCGTCCAGTAAATTCCTAATTGCGTTGAAAAAAAATATGGGACTTTTCCCCCATCGGCGTTTTCGGTATAGCTATATATACATTTCCCCTCCTTTTCTTTTCTTTTCTTTCCATTTCTTTTTTGCCCAGCAATGCAATTAACGGGAGCAGATCGGTTTCTGCACACTGACGCCTTTTAGACACCGAAACCAAAAATAGATCATACTTATGAGGCTGCCCGACACTCATAAAGGCACTCGTTTTAATCAAGATTGGATTACAAAAAAATAAATAAAAATCAAGTCTCAAAAAAACTGCCACTTTAAATAAATCTTCGGCCCTTTATTATTATTATTATTATTATTATTATTATTATTATTATTATTATTATTATTATTATTATTATTATTATTATTATTATTATTCACCGATGCATCATGTTTTATTAATATTAACATTAACATCGGATTTCTCGGCCTTGTTTTTAAATGTAATATTTCCTCAACATATTTCCCAGTCATGTAGCAGTATTTTTATTTTTATTTTTCTCTCCACACCCCCCCCCCTCCCTCCTATTTCAACTGAGACTTGGGATTATGGTGTGGGCGTGGGCGTGTTGGGTGGAGGAGGAGGGATGAGCGGAGGCGGGTAAGGAGGGGTCTGTGGGGTGGCACGACACACTTTGTATGTATGAAGGTTTTTTTATAGCACTTTTCTGCAATGTACGTCAGCGGATCAGTCCATAAATGGGGCTGCGTGCGCTTGTGTGCGGGCGTGCTCCCGCTCGCGCTTGTGTGCGTGCGTCTCCGCGTGTGTTATCTTTACCGAGAATCTCCCCTCTCTCTCTCTCTCTCTCTCTCTCTCTCTCTCTCTCTCTCTCTCTCTCTCTCTCTCTCTCTCTCTCTCTCTCTCTTTCTCTGCCTCTCTGTGCACTCTCAGCTCTGCAGAGTTGGGCGTCAATAACAAATCTGATGGTAGGTTTCATTGCAAAAAAAAAAGTAAAAAAAAAAAAAGAATAAATCCAACTCTCGGTAGGCCGACATAGAAATAACGCGCAAAGAAAAATGTCGATGCCTGTGTTAGATTTTTTATTTTTTTTTCTTTAAGGCAATGTTTTTCCATCTTATTATTGTTTTTTTTTTTATGTCATCGCAAATATGGGCCTTGCTTTGTGATCACGTCGGCGCAGAAATCTTGACTTGAGTTTCGATGCGATCCTCACATTTTGCTCAAACTTGGAACGTGACTGCCCACGTTGCCGCAACGTTTTCATTCATGAAATGCCAGCCCTCTAATCCGGGCTGATGTCTCATGCAAATAATAAATAGGATATTGATTATTTCGGGCGGAAATCTCAGCTCGCGGCTTAAGCGGACGTCACGATATATTTAGAGCTAAAATTAATCATTTTGATCGTTATGGAAATGTAGGCAGCGCCGCGCCGCCGCGCCGCCACCGCGGTGGCTCCTGCTTTAGTCACGGAACCATCATCTTCATCATCATCACCAGCGCCTCCGTCCAATTAACAAACAAGTTCTGGCGAGGAGGCGAAGCTCTGCGCCTTTTTTTTGCATCTTTAATTATCGTCATTTAGTGGCGCGAGTGCGGCTTTCACGTCTCGAAAAGAAAAAGAAGAATAAGAAAATAAAAATACACGATTAGTTGTTAATACACAGTGGAGTAATAGTCAAGATATTTTGCTTCAGAGCACTGCGGGGGACAACAAGGATTCACGATGTGGTGTGTGTGTGCGTGTGTGTGGGTGTGTGTAAGGAAGAAGGAGAGAAAGAGAGAGAGAGAGGGAGAGAGAGAGAGAGAGAGAGAGACCTGCATGATGCCAGTAAACCATTCACGTGTGTCTCCCAGCAGGTGACCATGCAGCACTGGATTCAAGCAACTCCTGTAAAACATAAATGTGTGAAAGTTTATTCAGATTCATTTAAAACCCTAAAGAAAAAAAAAGAAGAAGAAAGAAAGAAAGACAGAAAGAAAGGCAGACAAGTTCGAATTGCAACACATCCTTGATTTACCTGCAGGTTTGAATAACAAACCATATTTGTGCTGGTAACAGACACGTCAACACTTCCAAAATACTAGGACGGTACGATTTGTGGGTTTTCATTCATAGAAACCTTGTTGGTGGGGGAGAAGGGACAGAGAGGGCTTAACAGGACAGAAGTAATGTATCCCCTGCATGATGGTGTGTGTGCGTACGTGTGTGTGTTTCTGAGGTGGGGTATATCTGAGGCTTAGAAAACTAGTCTGCTGTGGCTGCCTCATGATTACATTAAAGGTTATTGTCATCACAGGAGGGATGACATTAGCTCCTGACTTCAGCATCCGTTTAAAGGACCCAATTGACTGGGTTTGTCAAGCTCCCTCAAAGTCTTCTCCAGCTTCGGCTCTCGACTCGTTTGACGTCACTCGGCCTCTTACAAAATGCTTCCCTGGTTGACGTGTTTGCTCCTTGAGCAGGAATGCAATTCCACTTTGATCAAAATACCCTCGTCGCCTCCCTTTATCCAGAGCGAAAATGACATTTCACAAAATGTCATTTCGCCTGTGTGACACTGCTCTTTCCCCCCTTGCACAAGGAGGCATAATTCTACTTGTTGAGTGGAGCTTTCGGTGGCGTGGACCTGTCAGCTTCAAGCCGCCATTGGCAAGAGGAGCCTTGAAAGGTTGTACAGGCGTGTGGCGTTGTCAGCTCTTGTGATAGGCTCTTTTTCTGCATGCTACGAAGTCAGAATCCGGCTCCAAAGACCCGCAAAGACAGGAGATCTCATTCAAAAACACGGAGTGCTGAGAGATTCTGTATCTCAAGAAAGTCCAGCATCTCATATCAAGTAAAAGAATGTTCTTGGTTTCCTTATTATAGATTGCTATGTGATCAGTGAAAAGGAAGCTTATTGTCCCTTATTTTCATTCAGAAATCCCAGACTGATCCTTCTCACGATGAACCGCCTTCAGTAGTGCCGTAGTTGCAAAAAATGTAAGAGAGACCAGGCTGTTGTTTTTGCTCCTCTAATGAGATGCCAAGTGATTTATTTATGAATTACTTGTTGGGAACAGCCCCCCCTGTGCGGAGTGCATTTTTCTCTTTTCTGTAAAATCCTCTTTGGAGTCATGTCGCTCAGTGATTGCTGATGCAACTCTTTGTCATCCAGAGTTCGCCCTCACCTCCTGTGTGCCTTCGGGGAGGGCTATATCTATCCTGGCATGTCCCCGGGTGTGTTGGAGGTGGGAGTGACTCATTAAGCAGGTGTGAGCATCCTCTCCCATACTGCCGCATGCCAAACAAGAGCTCCATGCAGGGAAAAAAAAGTCTTGATGGCAATACAGCAAAAACGCATCACAATTAATCTTTGCACCAGTCTGGGGCCAAGCCAGGGGGATAACTAGCCATCCCTGCAGTGTGCTTTCTTTCACTCTCTCTCTTTCTGTCTCTCGTTCATCTGAGGTGGAATTTCCAAGTGTTCATCGTCACCTTTGAAAGGCCCGGCATCCACTGACATCTTCACTTGAATCCAGTTGAAGGAGGTGAATTGTTCCCAGTCTGTGTCATAAGTAGGGAAGTATTAAGGAAGCGAAGCTTTGTTTGGGTTACCTTTGGTTAGAATAACCTACTCTGCCTGCTGAAGAGCATCAGCCAGAGTTTCTTTGAGATATTGCTCTTATAAAGACAAAAAACAAGCAAAAAAAAAAAACACAACGAATTTACTGAGTGGTTTTTATATTTTAATATAGCAGGATGACGAGAATGACTAATGGGAACACAATTGAGAGTTCTGAGAAACGTTGGTTGGTTAAGGTTGCACAAAAAACGTCCAAAACCATTAGGAAGCAGTCTAACTCGTCACGCAGTCCTCTCACTTTGTGCAGATGCCAACATAAAATGCTTATTTTAACCATCTGGATGTCTAATTTTACTCAAATAGGGCATCTTTAAATGGCACGCAGTGTATCACGACTTTTGGTGGAGACGCGCTGTTACGCAAAACCCCCAGAAAACTATGCCTCCTCCATAGACTGTCTAAAAAAAAAAAAAAAGAAAAAAAGAACGAAGAAAAAAAAGAATACGGAAGAGGAGAGGCTTCGGTGTTGCTTTGTAATCTACCCAGACATTATGGCGTGGACGCAGGCTGCACGGTTTGAGGACAAACAAAAGCGCGTAACGCACGCTGCAGGCGCATTAACAGCTTCGGCTGTGGGCTGTTTAGACAGCTGTTCTGCGGCGACCAGTCAGCCAGCGGCAGGTCACATGTTGCCGCGTCATTGTGTAGTAAAGTTACAGTAGTTTCAAAGAGGCTCCTCATTTCAGCTCCAGAGGTCTCCTCATCACCGTGGCTGCCGCCGCCGCCTCTGCCGCGTCCTCGGCGTGCGACGACCTCACTTTCAGACCGATCTCCGCAGACGAAGCCGCGCAGCCATGGGAGTGCATTACCTCAGCCGTGCAATTTCCACCATCAATAATTTAATCTATTTGCTCCAAAGCTGAAGAGATATCCCGAAGCTTCTTCTTTCTTTCTTTCTTTCTTTTTTTTTTCTCCTGTCGGGAGAGTTGCAGAGAGGGAAACACCTCTGAAGTAAATTACTGAGGGAGTTGTCCAAAACATCCCAGATGACACCACAATCCTGTTGAATGGTCTGTTTTACGACTGGGCAGTAAAAGGTAGGCTGAGGGCTTTTTATATATATATTTTTTTTTTAATTTATTTTTGTTTTGCTTTACCAGAATGAGTTTTAACTACTTTGAATGTGTTTTATTCTAGTCCTTCTGATATATATATATATATATATATTTATATTTAAAGGGGGGGGGGGGGGGCAGACAGTGTGTGTATATGCGTGTGTATGTGAGGTGAGATGAGAGGGGGGGGGGTCTAAAAGTAGCTCGATCAAGTCCAGTTCTCCTGCGAACAGACAGCGCCGCGGCCCGAGAAGGGATATGTGTAACCTTATCCTGCCGTTCATTAATAAAAAACGCTCTTATTATGTTGATTGGGTTTCCAGCGGAGAGCGCGGGCTCAGGAGATGTAATCTCATGCACAGGAGAAAAAAAACAGCCCTGCGATTTTATTCCATTAATAAAGCAGACTATTGTGCTCAACTGCGTGTGCGTGAAACCCGCCAAGTTTTCGCGTTTTACTGCGGTTTAACCCTCTTTTAAACAGCTCGGGAAAGTCTGTGTTTATCCGTTTCCGCTCATTATCGAGACTCTCCTCCGCCGAGGTCTGAAATGAATCATTTGCCGCGGTTTTGTTTTTGCTGTTTCTGTATAAAACAAGAAGAAGAAGAAAAAACGATAGGGGGGAGAGAAGGGGAGAGAAACGTTTTTTTTTTTTTGTTTTGTTTTGTTTTGTTTTTTTGATGGACTCATTAAGACTTTATGGGAGACCCGAGACCCAAAACGCCGTGCTGCGGCCAACTTAAACTGTTGGCTTCAGTCTGTTGTGGTGGTACTAACTTCACGACATAAACAACAAAGAAATACAGAGAAGTGTTGGAAAACAACTGGCCACATTGGTGACAGCTGAGTGGGAAAAATAAATTGCAACTGGAGTCTGCAAGATTAAAGCTGGAAGTATAGATCTATCTATCTATCTATCTATCTATCTATCTATCTATCTATCTATCTATCTATCTATCTATCTATCTATCTATCTATCTATCTATCTATCTATCTATCTATCTATCTATCTATCTATCTATCTATCTATCTATCTATCTATCTGTCTGTCTGTCTGTCTGTCTGTCTGTCTGTCTGTCTGTCTGTGTGGGAAGGTAAGACTTGAGGCGCAAGAGCTGAAGCGCTGATTATTTCGCGGTCTCACACGCCATCTAGTGTAAGAACAGGAGAATTGCATCCGTCTTCATTCCCATCTAAAGGCCTCTTGTCTCAGTGGTTGGGTTTCACTGTCTTGGGGTTAAAATGAATTATAGATTTTTTTTTTATCATAAAGGCTTCACAGGAAGCTTTTTGCATTAACACATAAGCTGCATCAATCACTCAATGTCAGAGTCAGCTTAACATTCAAAGGATGAGCAGAGTGGGGTAGAGGAGGCGACTAATACGGGCAGCATAAATCACCCAGTGTGTGTTTGGATTCCTCTCCGTTTCTGTGGCAGGAGGCAGGTATGATCTATTGCGATGCTCATCTCTTACCAAACGTGAGCTCCAAAGCTTGCGTTGGATTGAAAACAGAGCCCAGGAAAAGCAAGCTTCCACATGTGTCAGCCATTACTGCAGACAACTCAATTAAGTCTGAATGCCTTTTTAAGTGCTGCATTGTGGCACATAAGGGGCTTCTTGGATGATAATATTTGCAATTTTCTTCCAGAAAACTTGAAGGATTCGGAACCATGGGGCTGTTCATGTTGAGTATGAAAAAAAAAAACAAATCTGCTTCTGAATTAATAGTTTTGCCTGCTACAGTTCTGGAGGAATTAAAGAAAGATGTATGCCCATGAGGGAAGTGTGGTGGGAGGCAAAGAGTCAATGCTGCACACATTTCTATCGAAATGCGCAGGGCACACTTCGTCCTTTCATCTCCACCGCTGCTGTTTATGTTGCTTTGTAATGGCTTTTAAGGTATCCTGCATGCAGTTAGCAGGGATGAAGCCATAAAGTGTGCTGACACGAGGGAATGCTACTGAATGTGCAATAATACTGGCCTTTACTAGTCCTTTCATGCTTTGGAGAAACTTTTCAGCGACTGTCAAAGGAGGCATTTATCACTTTAATCCCCACCTGGCACGGAGAATGAAGGCAAGGGTAAGTTACACAGCCCTGCCATACAGTCGCGTTCTCTCTCTCTATCGCTCTCTGAGTGGATGAACAGGTGGTCATCTGGAGACGTCAAAGCCGAACACTCACCTGCTTCCATTGTTCGGGGTGTGGTGTCATGGATAAAGGCGTGTTTAAACAGCAGTTATTGCTTGTCTTTATTTCCCCTTTGCTCTTAAGTCATTAGCTCAGTACTCACATCTAGATGGCCGGAGCCTTTAGATGAAACTTCACTTCACCGTGTGCTTCCCTGAACTTTCACTTTAAAATGGTGTTTTAATCAGTCTGGGTTGGAGGAGGTTGTTCTTTACTCCGGGAGCTGCCATCCAGCGGCCCCGTTTTTAATTCCCGTCGAGCTGTGTTACTCATCCTCACTGTGTTAACACCGAATTACTGTATTTGTCACATTTAGCCTCTTTTGCAGATAAAAGGTGCAGATTCTCCACTGGTCCCACAGCAATTAAATGATTCATTGGCTTTATCGTGCTTTAACAGGATGTTGATTGAGAGCGTAAGCCATATTGATTGTCCTGATGGAAACAGGAAATCACAGAGATAGAAATAAAATCATCTGTTGTTCCCGGTGTGAGGATACCCAGGGGAAAGGCAGGCAATTGCGTACTGTTGAGTGGCATTACCCCCAGCAACCTCCTCTCCTCCATTCTCTCGCCTATGGAGACCTGGAAGAGACGTCATCCGCGGTTGTTATGCTGCGAAATGACGCTGGCACTCTCTCCACCACCCCACCCCAACCCACCCCACCCGCCCCTGCTACTGCAACATTACCCCTGTGGTCTCTTACAGAAGATGCAGCACTCCTCGTCTGCACCATTTCCAGCATGAAGTTTGACGCCTGACAGTAATCAGGCCCTGCTTTCTGCCGTCATTTCCCCTCATGTGGAAGTGGAACCACTCGAGCGCAATGCTGATAATAATATCAGCCTAAATGCATCCTACACATAAAGCTCGTGACTGGCCTCGATCCCGTAAACCTACACGATTCTCTGTGCTGGGAAATCTCCACTGAAAACCCTCGACGTGTGAACCGGAATATCGCTTTCAATGATCAGTGGGAGTTATCATCAATCCACAGTGATAATTTGATAATTAGCTCTTTATGCACGGCCTATGCCCCCATTGTTGTTTTAGTTGCGAAGATAAAAAAAGAAAAATACCCCCATCCTTACACACACATACATGCACAGAAGCCAGCCGCTCCCCATGCCCTCCCTCTATCTCACACACTCATACACTCTGGAAGAGCACGTCACTGAGCTCAGGGAATGAGTGGCTCATTAAGAAGAAGGATGTGATATTCTGAATAGAGACTGTGAGACTCCCTGCACGTCTATTTTTAGCAGTGATATCTCTATGGCACTCACCGTGGTGTCGGTTAATTGCAGCCACAGCCCCAGATACCAATTAAGAAAGAAACAAATGCTTTTAAGGTGGGGTTGTGTTTTTTTTCTTCTTCCTCCTGGAAAGGTCTTGAGTCCATCCTTAGTGGATACAAGGAGTGTGCTTGCTCACTTTGTTTTGGCCGTGTCAGGTTTGGGACATGCAGAGTGCGGTCAAAGCATCATCCAGGCTATTTTTAAATGAGTCCCAGTGGAAAACGAGATCTAGATTTTTTTTTTTTTTTAAAAATCTTTATGGTTGTTTTAATGTCTCAGGCTGTCGGATGTTCACCAGCTCATTGATCCGCTGTGAGTCTTAGAGCTTCTTGGAGGTAAGGGATGCAAACGTGCTCAGGCAGTTCAATGATTATGGATGTGTATTCAGCATTTTGTTTTCATCTGGCTCCCTGTTGTGGGGTACAGCAGGGGTCTCAAATTCCAGCCCTCCAAAGTTGGTCTCCAGCAATTTTTCAATGTCTCCCTGGTCTTTCAGTAAGCAGCCATGTTCTGCAGAGGATTGCGAATGACCTGATTATTTGGTTCTGGTGGATTGCAATAGAAGTTGCAGGACAGTAACCCTCGAAGCCTAAAGTTTGAGACCTCTGCTATATGTGAATCTGTCTCTGGTGGATCCAGGCCTCTTAAAATCAGACCTCGAGTTTCTCATCTATGGCCACAAGGTTTGGTGTCAGACTGGTCTTGCTGTGTAGACCAGTTTGTAGTGCAAACAGTGTAGCAGTGCACCGACAATGTTTGCCAAAGCTGAAATAAACACAATATCAGCCGCTCTTCTCGGTCTGTCAGTAGATGCTGGACATGTGAGAGGTTCCTGAGATGTTGATGCTGGGGAACTCTTGTTTGTTGGGCTTCGAACAATCACTCCCAACTACCAGTACGAGGCTAAAAAAGATACACACAGCGTGAGCTATTAAAACAAGACAGTTACCGATGCAGAAAGGGTGAATGATAGCTGAGGCCATTATAAAACCACACATGCCTGCACATTCCTCACTGTACCCTGTAACACACCCCTTCATAAATAATAGCAAGCCTGTTAGGATGTTTCAAGCATCTATTTGTGCACTCTTATCTTTAGTAATAAGTAGTCTCTCTCTCGCTCTCGTTCTCATCTCTCTGATGCTCAGCACAGCTTTGGTGCGTTTGCTGCCAACAAATTGAAATCTAAGCCAGGCCTCACATAGATTTACAGTTTGCAAACAGTTTGAAAGCACTGATGACACGGTGCCGTTATCAGTTTGATAAAAACATGTTGTGGTATTTCTAAAGCTCTCACTCTTTGGCACCCAAACAAAGAGTTGTGGGTGTTTAAAAAAGGATTAAGTGATGGATTAATGATCAAGAAGGGGCTAGCTTTGGTAGAAATACTCTTTCACTAACCATCCTGCTCTCTTCCCTTTTTTCTGTTCTCCCTCCAGTTCCACCAGGTTAGAAGAGTGATGACCATCCTGTTCCTTACTATGGTTATTTCATACTTCAGTTGCATGAGAGCTGCGCCCCTGAGAGACGCCCCGGGCATGCGGGGCCATCGGACGGAAGGCTACCTGGGCGCTGCTGCGACGGCCCCCCGGGGCCACGGGACTCCACAGAGTGGCGGCGGGCCGGGCCAGCGCGAGGAGCTCCCCTCGCTCACAGACACGTTCGAGCAGGTGATAGAGGAGCTGCTGGAAGTGGAGGGTGAGGCGGCGCAGCTGGGACAGGGGGCCGACAAGAGCCAGGGAGGTGGGGGCCCGTCGCCCGTGACCACCGCAGAGGCCAAGGATGTCGATCTGTACAACTCGCGGGTGATGATCAGCAACCAAGTGCCTTTGGAGCCGCCGTTGCTCTTTCTCCTGGAGGAATACAAAAACTATCTGGATGCTGCGAACATGTCCATGAGGGTGCGGCGGCACTCCGACCCCTCGCGGCGCGGAGAGCTCAGTGTGTGTGACAGTATTAGCCAGTGGGTGACAGCTGTGGATAAAAAGACGGCAATAGACATGTCTGGGCAGACAGTAACCGTCATGGAGAAGGTCCCTGTCCCCAATGGCCAACTGAAGCAATACTTTTATGAGACCAAATGCAACCCCATGGGGTACACAAAGGACGGCTGCAGAGGAATAGACAAGCGGCATTATACGTCCCAATGCAGGACAACCCAGTCCTACGTGCGAGCACTCACCATGGATAGCAAAAAGAAGATTGGCTGGCGGTTTATAAGGATAGACACTTCATGTGTATGCACATTGACCATTAAAAGAGGGAGATAGTGTATAAAATGTATAGATTTTATTGAAGAGTTTAAAAAAGAGAATAAAGAGAAAATATCTATTTGTATATATACATAACAGGGTAAATTATTCCGTCAAATGAAAATTTTATGGACTGCATGTAAAAAAAGATGAAGTTTATACAGTAAAGTGATACTACAGTCTATTTATTGAACATATTCATGACCTTGTAAACAATTAAAAAAAATCTGATCAGTCATTTGCGCCCAGTTTAAATTACTGTATCACATTAAAGGAGACGTTGTGATCTGTTTACGTTGCCAAGAATTAGGAAATGAAGGAGGAAAAAAAAAACACGGGCAAGGAATAGGAGAGGACAGTTCCATCTTCAAAAGCTTGCATGCTGCTTTCAATTGTGAATTCAGAAATTCTCCACTTTCAAAGAAAAAACACAAAAAAAAAGGATATGATGCTGACCAAAAAATAAATAAAAAAATCACTCAGCTCACATATTCAACAGAAGATTCCTCTCAAGTAAAATTATCTGTTTACTGTTCTAAACTTCTCAAGGTAATGTTGGAATTACATACTATGTCAAGGTGCTGTTGTCAAAGCTTTGCTGTTTATTTTTTTATCCCCACCAGAGGAAAAAATATATTTAAAGATCATATATATATATATATATATATATATATATATATATATATATATATATATATATATATATATATATATATATATATATATATATATATATATTCATTGACATGTTTCTGGGTTAATATTCATTTTGTATGTTGTGAAGTTGTTTGCAATATTAAACTGAAATATTTGAAGAAATAAAAATGACTATAGGCAACTGAAAAAACACAAATCAATGTCGATACAGTTTCAACATCTTTAGGCAGATTAATTTGCGAACACCTTTTTTGTGTATGTTACACAAAAGGGGCACGTTTTCAACAAAAACAACACATTTTATGACGACCTGCAAAGCTACTTCAGAGGGATTTCTTTGCTCAAGCTGCTGGAAGACAGTCATGGAATAATAGGGGAAAGTACGAAAACAGTCTTTGGTGACAAACGGAGCACACGCTCTCTTCCAACACAGTAAAGGTGACTTCAATAAATTTCATTTTATATATTTTAATATATCCTTTTCCATGGATCACTCAAACTTGCGAACGAGAAACATCAGGAAAAAACATGCCTGCAGTTTCAAGTGCAGACTAGTAGAAGTGTTTGAGTACACATCGGGTATGTCTGAGGTTGACAGTGATGGATTCAGCCACCCATACATTTGTGTACATTATAGATATACACCCAAGATTTTCTTCTGAGTTCAAGGTAATCCCATGTTTGAATCATTTTTCAATAGAGCAGTCGTGGCTGATCTGACCCGGCCTCTCACACTCACTGTGAGCAGAAGGAAAAGCCATCCTTGACACCTGGGAGACGACTGCTACATTCCCTCCAGCAGAAACACCTCACAGTATCTCACAGTATCTCACAGTATCTCATGCCAAGTCTAAACGTCACAGTCTTAAGGTTTTTACTGGAACAGAAGTAGACTGTGTTTATCCTCTGCGTGAGAAATTTTGGAAAGAGCATGTTTTTTTTTTTCATTATCATCAAGGACCTCCAGATTCCAATCACTTCAAATATTCTTTTCAACTGAAAGTTAAGTGTTGCTGCTGAAAACAAAAAAAAGAGAAGAGTCTGTCAACTTCTCCTGGAAGGATCCTTCATCAATACCAGATTAAATTAAGTTTAGTCTCTAAGAAAAAGGCTTCTCATCCATTGCCACAAAGCCATTGTGATGCAAGAAGAAAAGCTATGTGCTTTCAAAGATATTTCTCACTGAGACGGAGCTGAAGCATATTTTGTCAAATTCAAGTACAAACACATCCCTAGCAAAAAATGAAAAAAAAAAAAAAAAGAAAAGGAACAATGAATCAAACACGGGGACTCTTACTCGATAAGGTAGGTGCTCCAATTCCCAGGAGTATGAACCTCCGGCTGTTTTTGCCGCAACAATTTACAAGTGAAAGAAAACTGCCATGTTCTAATTACACACTTCTCGATGACAGTTGTCGGATAGAGGCCCCTGTTTGAATGACAGAAATATAGTCAAATTAAAATGTAGCACAGAAGAATTACTACGTCATGATATGGTGTTTTGTTTTCTCTATATATAATTTTTTTTGAGCTGGGGCAGTAGCAGAAGAAATAAAAACAGATGAACAAAAATTACAGCTGCTGCACAGATTTTAAATTATGTTAGGCCAAACACATTTCAGAGTCAACAATGTTACGGAATTTCCACAAACTTTTTTCTTGTGTTTGTTTCATCACTAGATGGGGTGTGGTCAGAAATGAATCATGCTCCAAAGTTGACTTACAGAGAGAGAGAGCAGTGCAGCAGCAGCAGCCCTGATGGGTTAGATTTTAGAGCAATGCTACAATTAGCCACAGGAGGGCAGTAAAGAAACTAATCTTCTTCTATGCGAAAACCCAAGTTTTTTTTCCTGAGGGCTCCGTTTTAATACAATAAAGTCTAATATTTACCTCTATTCAAAAGAGACTCTGGCAAGTCTCTTTGTTAGAATTAGCATAAGCATGAGTCATGACTAAAAAAATACATGATGGAGATGAAAGGGGAAAAGGAAGTACGGAGTAGCTGAACAACAAAGATTGATTCAAATGCATCATGTTTGGTTTAAAGAACAGTTACGCGAGACAAAAGTCGATACATTATCTAATAAACAATTAAAGACACGTCTGTACGGAAAATGGACGTCATCTTACACATAAAACCAGCAAAAGTATCAGTTTTTGTCGGAATTGTCCTCTGTCCGAGGCTCACCTGAACGCAACATAACACTGGCACTAGCCGTGCTAACAGAGCTAATCTGATTTATCGTCTCAGTTAAGCGCACGAAACGTCCACCAGGATTACCAAATTTAGTTTTCCTCATATTCCCCAAAGCGGCATATCGATCTAAACTCGTCCGAATTCTGTTTTGGAGGATGGCATCTCTTGGGGAGCCTGTGCGATTGGAAAGAGGTAACAATAATTAGCTAGCTAGTTACAGTTGTTTGTACGAGAAAGACGTTGACCTAGCTTTGCTGCTGGTTGTTTGAATAAAAGTTGTGTCACTTTCGCGTTCAAGTTGTTATTTGGCGGCATACGCTGGATCATGGACGTTGCACGAATCATTCAAGCTGAATTCTTTTGATCAAAGGACAATAAAGACAGGGTTAGCTTGTTTAACTCGCACTGGCTACCTAGCTAATATTGACAACAGTGATAGACCAACCCGGCTGGCCGAATGAACTTATATAGAACTTAAAAGCCTTACAAATCAAAATGTGTTCATTCTTATTGGCATGACGAAGAAAAAACTGACATGTAATAACTATATTTATTTCGAATAAATAGATATTTGTAATAGCAAATTACGCCTTTAAATTGACCCTTATCTCTTTATGTGTTGTAGCAGACTTAAACAAGTTTAAAAGTGCCTCACAGACATGAAGCACATGCACGTCTGTACAGTAAGCAGTTTGTTGGTCATGTTTGTAGGCCATTTTTGAACTGATTACAACATAAACTGAAGGAACTCCGATGACCTGAGGATGCCTTGCATACCAGGAGCAATATTTTTAACAAATGTTAATGTACAAGACACTCTGGCAGTGTTCTGAGCAGTGCTGTAAAATGCTAAATATGCTTTTGCAGTAGTCTAACCTATCAAAAACAGAATAATATCACTTTTTCAGGGTGATGGTGTCGCTGATAATTACTCAGTTTGAACCAGTTGAAGTGGCAAGTGACACAAACTTCCCTAAAATTCTAAGCAACATTCATGGGATGCTTTGAGATTTACTGTATCACTGTGCAGGGCATCAACTACAGCTGTAGGTTATATCAAGTCACAGATTTCATCACAGTATTAATGATGGCATAATTGCAATTTCTGGATGCAATACTTGATAAGTCACATTTCTAAGGGTACTTTTAAATATCTTATTTAGCTGGTTGGATGAACTTTTACTGTCCTTATTAAAAACATGTAATATAAATTTCAGTCTATAAAATGCTTGAGCTTACATGTATAAGGGAACTTGGAGAAGAGCAGAAAATGTGTGTTAATCAGATTTTATAACAATCATATTCCAATTCTTTGGTTTTCTAATACCTTGCTTCCCTAGTCTCAACACAAATATGTATTACTATGACTAAATTGTTTTCATTGAATATCTGAGAAAAACAAATATTTCTGCTTCAGCTAACACTGGGACTCTTATTTAATACCGTAGGTAACATATTGTCACCTTTATAAAATAATAGCGTAAGTAAATAATCTGCTTGGGAAGCTAGCTCGCTGTGGGTTGCTTAACAAATAAGCTGCCTAAAATTATGGCCTCGTGCCCAATGAAGTTTGTTGATTCATTTGTGAATATCGCACTGTGATGGAGCTGCTTATGTTCTGGTCGACAGATATCAACCGTGCAATTGAGCTGCTTGACAAGCTGCAGAGGACGGGGGAAGTTCCTCCTCAGAAGCTGCAGGCGCTGCAGAGGGTCTTGCAGAGCGAATTCTGCAACGCTGTCAGAGAAGTGAGACTGTTTGAACATTGAACTATTTTCTATTCTGGTGCGTTGTTTTAGTAATTTGGGCTATTTTTGTGCATCTTTAGGTTTATGAGCATGTGTACGAAACGGTGGACATTAACAGCAGTCCTGAGGTCAGAGCCAACGCCACAGCTAAGGTAGGCTTCGGATTACTTGCTAATCCACAACTATCTTCAATTCCTATTGCATCAGTAAACATTTTTCTTTGATTGCAGCATATTTTAGTGCTAACGTAGCAATTTTGCTTATTTTTAGGCAACCGTGGCAGCTTTTGCAGCAAGTGAGGGACACTCTCATCCACGTGTGGTGGAGCTGCCCAAGACAGAGGAAGGCCTAGGTTTTAACATAATGGGAGGAAAGGAGCAAAACTCGCCGATTTACATCTCACGGATCATCCCAGCAGGCATCGCTGACCGACATGGAGGCCTTAAAAGAGGCGACCAGCTTCTCTCTGTTAACGGGGTGGTACGTTCTGAGAATTACTAAGGGAAACTTGAAGCTTTAGCCTGACACCACAGTCAGAAAATATTTAGTGACTTTTGTGGACAGGCAATATTAGTCAAAGTACAACTATGCGCAAGAGGACCCTATCATTGAAAAGTTATGCAAACTTAAGATGTTAAATGGGTAATATTATGAAAAGGCTACTTTTTTTAGCTTTACATCATGTTATAGTGCTATTCCGTCATCACCAAAAACTTAGCTGGAGTGTTGCCTTGATTCTTTCATGCATGTTTGAGAAATCCTTTAATCTCCCATGGCAACCATTGAGTTGTGCAAGTTGCCTGGGTGGACATAGCACCACCTTCGAGGTGCAGCTCCTCCTCGGAGATGTGGTTTCCAAGTTTTTTGCCTCACTGCAACTCCCCCACACAGTTTCTTCAGACTAGCCAGCAGCAATTAGCACAAAAAAAAAAACCTGGTGGAACTGCACATCTGCTGAGCTCATAATATGACTTGTATTTAATTAGGACTCATAATCAAAAGAAATATATCACCATGCATGTAACAAATCTTAATAGTTTCTTAATTCACTGAAATTCAGCAATATTCCAATTTGCACATGTACTTAACTTTGTTCATATGAAATAAATAATTTTAAGCGGCAGATAGTGAATTGATTCTTGTGTTTCCCTTTAAAAAGCACTTGTGGGAAACAGATTCCAGTTTGTGAAATCGGTATTCTGTGTTTCCGCAGAGCGTGGAGGGTGAGCACCATGAGAAAGCTGTGGAACTCCTCAAAGCAGCCCAGGGCACAGTGAAGCTGGTTGTAAGGTACACCCCCAAAGTCCTTGAGGAAATGGAGTCACGATTTGAGAAAATGAGGTCGGCAAAGCGCCGGCAACAGAACAACTACCAGCAGTAGGATTTTTCCAGCTTCCTGCTCAGTTCCCAGGGGTCTCCTCTTTTAGTTATTTTGGTTATCTGCTCTAGTCTCTTTTTATCCTCTTGTTCACTCACTCTTCTCCCTCCACACACAAAAGGAAAAAAAACTTTACTAATTTTAGTTATTTCTATCATATGCTGTATATTGTGCTTCTAATCTCCTCTGTAGCATTTTAATAGTAACCACTGTTACTGTGCTTGACACTAAAACTCTAGATACACTAGAATGATCATGATTGTCTGTGACTTGACAATTTGAATGCAGAGTTGGCTTTTTTTCTTTATTTTTTTTTAAGGTGAACTGTGTGACTCTTTGACGGAGAAGGTTTTTATTTGTTTCATCACGGCCACTACCAAGTGCCTCAGGGCAAACGTATTCATGTCATGTGCTGTGGAAACTAACCTTGTTTCATTTTAACATTTTAGATGTAAGCACTAGTGACTGGTGGCAGGAATTAAACCAACAGAGCATGCTTTCTTTAAGAAAATAAAACGTTTTAGAGAGCAAACATTAAATCACGCATTTTAAATTTAATGGCATTTAACAGACTTGTCATCAATAGAAAGACTTTGAAGTTGATATAAAAGGGATGTTTGGCTTCAAAAAAGATAATAACTGTATTCTCAAAGCTCAGGGTGCACAATAACAAGCCCAGCAGGGATTTAATGGGGTCTCAACAAGTCCAGAGCTGAGCTGGTGCCACCGCCGGGCTTCACATTGTAACATTTCTCAGAGTTTGACACCTTCAGAAGCACAAACTCTGCAGTCACCCGGAGCCGAGACAAAATGTATACTCATCATAAATTTGAATCTCACAGCTTTATTGAACTTTTCATTAGTTTCAACAACCATGATTTCTGTAGCATAATTTTTGAACTTCTACAATCAGTTCAGATTTTTATTCTAAGAATTTGGTTTCTAAAATCTTTGAAGAAATATAAATTATTTTGGTAGTTTTTCTCTTGAATGCCCTCATAGGTTTCTGGTTACTCTCTTCTTATGATAATTTAAGGTTGTACAGGAGACTTCATAACTAACTACTAGGAACATTTTCATCACTACTCTTGCTAGAAAGTAGTCCCACCACATCGTACTACCACCGCTATGTTTGAAACTAGATTATGCCTACCTTGCACCTGATGTTTGTGTTACCATAAAATTTTCAAATAAAGAGCATTTTCTTTTTCTAAGTTGATCAGCTGAAAACTTTGCTGGAACTAAAGGTGCTTACAGTTGATGACCGAGGTTTCTTTATTTGGCAGCAGTCTGATGTAAAACTGCAGTCAGTGACACAGGTTTAGAGTGAGACTGGTTATTTGATGGTTTCTGCCAGTTTGAGCTACTTTTCTGCCAAACTAATAGCAAGCCTTAAAGTAATGTGTCTGTACCATCACATTTTTTTGGATTATGACCTGTAGGTCTACCGCTAAGAAATGAATGTAGACATTTGCTCCTTTTCCTGGATCTACGTTTGGACTTTTCTTGTTTTTGGGGGTTGTTTGATTCAATGATAACTGCAGGATGGTAGAAAAAGCACAGAAAGTTGGGAGATGTTTTTTATTAATTTTATTATGATCACATCTTTGACACTTTAATTACGACTAAAATAATCATCTAGGAAGGAATATGGATATATCTGATCCTGTGTTGTCTTTTGGGAAATTGAATTGTCCACAACAAACAATGCTTAATGCAATCTTTCATTATTTTTTCCTAAACAAAAGAGCAGACTTTAACCCAATATGGTATACAAGTTATCTGTATGTGCACCAAAATAAAGTGTGGATGCAGATTCTCTGCAGTTTTTAGTATTTTCCAAAAGTGAACATCTCAATTCACATGACCTTCATTCTCCATTTATATCCTGTAGTTGATGAAATCATTGAAGGATTAATAAGAAAATGATAACAGGCTTTTTAATTAATCGTTTAGATGCTTTCAGAAAGAACAGAAAGCTGCAGGTATTTCCTTCAGTAAAAAAAAATATAACAATAATTTTCTCAAAACTGTCTTTGCCTCATTTCTCACATGCATGCATGTTCTTTCCAAAAATACACATACTAAAATGTTCTTTATGAATTATGATCCAAAATTTCACTGTGATCATATAATAAACACTCCCTTTACATATACATCACTGCATGTACAATAATATCTTGTATTCCTTAAGTCTTCATTTATGAATTCTTAAAAAAAACAAAACAAAAAAGAACATAATAAATTCTATGTTGGGAATTATTTGAGTTGGTAAAGCCTCTCCTTGTTAATAAGAGCAGCATAAGTGACATGAGAAATTTCTTGCTTTTCCAGTAAAGGACATATAAAAGATGATTCTAAGGTTAAAACTATTCAAATTCCTCATAAATCAAATCAAATTTATTAACAAAGCTTTTTGTCTCCTTGTTTCTCACGTACGTTTGATGTTAAATGTGTAGCATGCTGCAAAGTATATTTTAGTTTTCCAAGCCATACAGTTGACTCAGGATTGATATGCTGCATCACTGGGACACTAGAGCATCAATAGTAGCTCTGATTAATCTAAATGAAGGAAACAGATGATAGATTAAGTGTTTTTAACAGCTCTTTAGTAGAGCATCATGTTTAAAGAAGTAGTAGTTTTGATTTTTAAAAATTAGAATGATACAGTTAAGTCAACCACTAAGTTTTAGCATGTTCTTACATAACAGAGATGACCTAAACCCAATGTAAATACAGTCAGTTTTTGTGAGCAGTGCATGAAATTTGATCGCTGAATGTACAGTTTGGTGATATTTGTGGTGGTATTTCACATAATAAAATCTATTGACAACACCAAGAGACAAATAACTCACTAAAAACAATTCTTCAGGGAGAGCTAAAGAAAAGTATTTTGTGGCAAACCTTGGGGAAAGTTCCAAGTTCTTGTGAAGGGGGTGTTAAAATTGTGCAAGTTGCATAAACAACAGTTTCTGAGCTCACAGTGCAGTTTTATTTAATGGCTTACATCCAGAACTTTTGCAAGAAAAAAAAACAAAACACAATTGTTGGGGGAAAAAAACATAAAATGGAACAGGCTCAATGCAAATCGATTATCTATGCAAAGTCATTTCATAAACTTCAGAAATAAAACCTATTGGTGCAAAACAAGTGAACAATATTGTATGATAGAATGTTACTCAAAATTGCTGTTGAACCTGAGGCTAATGGTGTACTGTGATTCATGGGAGTTATACAGCTTTACTAAATCATTATCGTTCTGATCAGCATCTATGTTTAAAATATGAGACTTAAACTCCTAATTAGTGATTGTTGAAAGGCTTAACGGAGGAACATCTTCTGTAGTTACCTTTTTATTGAGCATTATTTAGCACTGTATGATAAAGATATAATTCGAAAAGAAAGTTAAAGTATTTGTCTACATCTGTCTGCTGGTGTAACTTTTGGTTCAAGCTGGTCAGAACCAGTTTGTTTGGGCTGCAAGTAGCAAATCAGTTCAAAAATGTATTTGAATGGGTGCAACTTTAAAATAAGACTTCCCTTATAAGATATTCCTGGTTAGTTAAACCTACTACTCATAAGAGTTTAGAAACAGAAATGAAATCAGGTTTGTGTATTGCTTTTCAGGACACTCAAAGACACTTTACATAAAATCAGTCATTTTTATTCACGCACACATTCCCATCTTGCCCATTAACCAACTTCCTGTGTCTGCTTTGGAATGGCTTATAGATTAACAACTTATTTATAACTGATTTATTTACTATTAACCACTCCTAAGGAGAGTTTTGTTATAAAGTTGCGCCCATAAATTGGTGGAAATATTGGAATTGAACATTGAAATGTTTTCATGTTGACTTAGAACAACATTTTGGTATTATTGTCTAAGTTATATGATATGATCTTATTAAAGCGAAAGACTGGGATTGCATATGATTCTTATTTCAAAGAGGGAATATTTAGATATTTGTTGTAACTTACTCCAATTTACTTTTGAGTTGAGTGTAAATAAAAATCCTCAAATAGAATACATTTTGTTCCCTAATTATGTTTAAATCCAACAGTAGCTTGCTTAGCTTAATTCTCACCTGCATACATGCTCATATCAGAAAGTAAACATAATGAGATTTAGCATTGACACTGCATAGTCACTGTTTCTCTGAATGTTTATGGTCATTGTCTTGAGTTCAACTTTTTACAGGTTTCCCTTGTCTGTAAATCTGAATGGTCAATAGAATATTTTTTATAATAGTTTTCTTTTGATAATTCTTCTCAATTTTGTAAGTGGTTTTCCTAAAAAAATAATAATAATAATACCAGCAATTGGTACTTCCATTTTGACTGTGTACTAGGGCAATATCAGCTCAACCTTTCCAGAAGAAAACTCTGAATCAAAAAAGGTAAATGGTCCGATATCGGTGCTTCTTTTCTGAGCTCTGAAATAGTTTTCTTTGTAAAACTAAAACCAAACTTAATACATTTGTTCAAATTGTTGATGATGTCTTCAGATTTTTTGGGTCAGTTTTGATTCAATTTTAAGATCAGTAGATTGTGTTATGTCATTTTGTGTTGTCTGGTTTTGTTTTATTTACTCTTACATTGATGTGGAATGTAAAATGTGACGTAGAACAATGAATATAGTTGTATCATACATTCAATAAATTGTGCTTACATTTATGAAATTTATGTGTTTTGTGTTTATTCTTGGAGAGATTCACTGAAACTCTGTCTTACAGTTTTAAAAGTTTAATTCATAAAGAAGAAAAAATTCAGCTGTCTTCACGTCAGTGTGATCATGTCATTACTAAGTTGTTAAAGAGTCCATCTTAAGTATCAATTTGCAATGAGGATTGCTTGGCTTGAAATGATTGTGTTGCCAATCGTTACTTGCACAAAAACGTGCGACCATCATAGACAGAATTATGTTCCCACTAGCGCAGAGCTTAGATAATGTGAGAGGGTAGATTATTAATGAAATTAGTACTCTTCCCTGATTGTTTATTGATTCATCATTAATTATTAATTGATTACATTTTGCTTTGATTCAGACATGTTTGAGTAATTGTTGAATCTCTCTTGGCAATCATTCAGGGTTGTCTAAGAACTTACTCTCACAAAAAAAAATGGTGATAAGCCCATCTTATAAAAGAAATATTGTAGGAGAAAAACAGCTGTCCTGTTGATAAAGTTTGCCTTTAGTGGTTCTTCAGAGATATTTTGCCATTTTTGTCTTCTGACCTTAAAAGCCCCGTCAGATTTTACCCAATGGAGTTTCTTGACTGCTATATTTTATTTAGTACTTAACAAAAGTTGAGAAAAGGGACCTGAGAAATAGTTTTCTGAAGATGTTGACATTATGAATGTTTTTGTGCTCTCATTTGTTGTTGTTGTTGTTGTTTTTTTTTTCTTCTCATTATTGGATTATTCTGTGTCACATCACGTGACCTGTCTAATTGAACACACTTGTGTACAATAAAAGGGTGTGTCCTCCAACAAAGGAACAACACGAAAGCCAAACCGGTGCGAGTTTCTTGATGTCACGCTGAACGCTGTGCCGAAAACTGATTCTGCTAACAGGTTATGGGCCCAGAATCAATGAAGAAACAGGTGAATGCCTCGACAGACCGTGAACACCTGCTGTGTAAGTAAACGAGGAAAAATGAACAGAAAAGAAAAAGACATGGCACACAGCCGCTGGTCAAGACTTCTTTTTGATGGAGATGAGAAAAATTATGAACTATGGGAAACCAAGTTTTTAGGACATCTTCGACTGCAAGGGTTGAAACAGACAATTTTGACAAGTCCCTCCGATGATGACGATGAAGAGGAAGACGCGAAGAAAAATGCTGAAGCTTATGCCGAGCTCATTCAGTTTTTGGATGACAAGAGTCTATCACTTATCATGCATGACGCGGCAGACGACGGACGTGCGGCACTTGGAATCCTGCGGGCCCATTACGCCGGTAAAGGAAAGCCCGGAGTGATTAACTTGTATACTGAACTGACTTCGCTGCAGAAATCACCCAGTGAATCGGTTACAGAGTACATCATCAGAGCTGAGACCGCGATCACCGCTTTAAGGAATGCAGGTGAGGTGCTGAACGATGGACTTTTGATCGCCATGATTCTGAAAGGACTTCCAGGACATTTAAGCCATTTGCTGTTTACATTACGCAAAGCGAAGATGGTGATAAATTGACTTTTGCAGAATTTAAGACTAAAACTCAGAAGTTTTGAAGACATTGAGAATATGCGTGCTACAGTAGTATCTGAAGACAATGTGATGAAAGCTAAAGCACATTCTGGCACAAAATGCGCACCAAGAGGCGCAAATGATCCTGGAGCAGGAAGTTCTGAGATCGTGTTTTAAATGTGGGATGAAAGGCCACATCAGCAGAACCTGCCAGCGGAAGCAATGGTGCAGTTACTGTAAGAATAACAGTCACAGCAACGCAACCTGCAGACGGAGAAAAAACAACGGGACAACGCACGGAAAGTCGCCGAAGAGACGGGCGGCGACAAAGAGTTTGCATTCCGGTGTGCGACGCTGACACGCGAGTGGACGACATCAGGAGGAGAGGTCTGATGGTGGACTGGTGCAACATCGCATATAATCACCGACATCGGGAAGTTTCGGAAGCTTGATGAAAGTTTCCAGGCCGAGACGCACTGCGTGGAATTGGCTGATGGATCCAGGTGTTTTGGGGTTGCTAAGCAACGAGGAGACGCGGAAGTGTGTTTGATCGACAACAGAGGTCGACGTCTTAAAACGGTGCTGAGGAACGCATTGTACATCCCTTCATATCCGCAGGACATCTTCTCAGTGAAGCTGCAACATCCAGCGGAGCAACGGTGATCTTCAAAGAAGGAAAGAACGTTCTTCTCAGAGACGATACCAAGTTCCCCATTCACGTATGTAACAAACTGTATTATTTGCAAACGACGGACAATGAATGTGGTGATCAGTGTAAAAAATGTTATGACTTACAAGGTTGGCATGAGATTCTTGGACATTGCAATTACAGAGACGTACTGAAGCTAGAAAATGTTGTTCATGGCATGGAAATTAAAGGGAGAGGTGAACCAATGCCATATTGTGAAGTTTGCACAAAAGGAAAATTTGTTCTAACTAGGAGCAAGGAGCCAGATGCAAGAGCTAAAGAACCACTAGCAATGGTCCACACAGATTTAGCAGGACCTATAGATCCAATGTCAAAAGATGGTCACATATATGCATTATCCTTCACAGATGATTATTCCAGTGCAGTCTTTGTATATTTTTTGAAAAACAAGAGTGATACAGTACAAGCTACTGAAAAGTTTATTGCTGACATGACCCCACATGGAAAGATTAAATGTATGAGGTCAGATAAAATAGTATCAGACACGAGACCTCCGCACCATATTCTCCACATCAAAATGGTACGGCAGAACGAAACTGGAGAACTTTATTTGACATGGCTAGATGTATGTTAATCGATGGTGAGTTACCAAAAATGTTATGGCCATATGCAGTCCAGACAGCTGCTGTAGTGCGAAACAGATGTTTTAATAATCGCACAAAACAAACACCTTACTTCATGTTGACAGGCAGACAGCCTAACATTTCTAGGATGCACAAGTTTGGATGCGTTTGTTACACTTACAAACGAGAGAAAGGGAAGCTGGATTCAAGGTGTGAAAAAGGCATTTTTATAGGGTATGACAAGAATAGCCCAGCTTATATGGTCTACTATCCAAACAGCAGGAAAATCCAGAAACACAGGCTTGTGGAAATTGTATCCAGAGAGAAAAATGAGACTGTAACTTTGGATGATGATGATGATATGATAAGAATTAGTCCCAAAGCAACCAAAACTTCAGATGCTGATCCAGTAAATCAGGACCCGAGCATAGAAAAAGAACCAATGGCGAGTACCAGTCACACAACAAAACATGAAGAACCTGAGAGGCGATACCCTGTCAGAGAAAGAAAGAAACCAGATTATTTAGATGACTATGTATGTAGCATTGATGATGAAGAGCAAATAGCTAACATTGATTACTGTTACAGACTGATAAGTGGAGTACCTCAAACCTACAAAGAAGCTGTAACGTCTGTGAATGCAAAAGAGTGGGTTACAGCAATGGACGAGGAAATGCAGTCATTACAGAACAATGTTACTTTTTCCCTGACCGACTTACCTGAGGGTAAAGCTGTAGTGGGGGGTAAATGGGTGTATGCAATCAAAAAGAATAATGATGGATCAGATAAATATAAGGCTAGATATGTTGCTAAAGGATTCAGTCAAAAGAAAGGTGTGAACTATGATGAAACCTTTTCACCAACTGCTAGCATGACGAGCATCAGAGTGTTGATGCAAAAGGCAGCACAGGAGAACATGTTTGTTCACCAGATGGATGTAAGACAGCATATTACATGCTCCAATCGAATGTGAATTTATATTGAACAACCAGAGGGCTACAAGAAGGAATCTCAAGAAAATGAAAGACTGGTGTATAAACTGCAAAAATCTTTATGGACTCAAACAGTCGGGCAGAAACTGGAACAAAATGTTGCATGACTACCTATGTGAAATCAAGTTTGTTCAAAACCCTGCTGATAATTGTGTTTACACAAAGATTAATGATACTGAAACTGTGCATATCATTATATGGGTCGATGATTTGATTATTGCTGCCAGTGATACGAATATCCTTAAAGATGTAAAAGAGAAACTTGCATCCAAATTTAAGATGAAGGACTTAGGAAAGTTGACACTTTCTTGGCATTGACTTTGAAAAAGAGGCTGACAGTGTTAAAATGTCACAGTCGAAGTATGTGAAGAAAATACTGGAAAAGTTTGACATGCAGAACTGTAAGCCACGAACTACCCCTTGTGAGCAGAAACTTAATTATGATGATAATGCTGAAGTAATGAGTGATGTCAGAAAATACAGGGAGGCAGTAGGAAGCTTAATCTATTTGTCAACATGTACAAGACCAGATTTAAGCTATGTAGTAAGTAAACTGGCACAGTACTTTGCAAACCCAACCACAGAGCAGTGGAATACTGTAAAGCATGTTTTTAGGTATCTAAGAGGCACAAGATAAAGAACTATGTTTTAAAAGGGGTGCCCGTGATAACCTTATATATGCATACAGTGATGCTGATTGGGCAGGTGATGTATCCGATCGAAGGAGTACAACAGGTTACTGTATGAGTCTAAATAAAGATGGTCCGTTAGTCTCATGGAAGACCAAAAGACAGCCTACAGTAGCTCTATCTACATGTGAAGCAGAGTACATGGCACTAGCTGCTTCTATACAGGAATGCTTATACTTGAAACAACTGTTGTTCAACATGGATGGTCTGGATTATTTAGCTAAGATTTATGAGGACAATCAGGGTACCATATCCTTAGCCAAAAATCCTGTGAATAGACAAAGATGTAAACATATTGATATTAAATATCATTTTGTCAGAACAGTTGTAAATGAAGGAAAAGTCTTCTAGAGTACTGTCCAACTAATGAAATGGTTGCAGATGTACTAACTAAACCAGCAACAAAGATTAAGTTGAGGAAGTATGAAATGTTTATGTTTGGCGAATCATGAATGTATTTTGGTTGAAATATTAAGAGTCAGAGGAAGCTACCCAAATGTGAGCAAGTGGGGGTGTTGACATTATGAATGTTTTTG